TATCACTTTGATTCCGCGAACAATCATTTTACGACATTATCTTATTCCAATAAACAGTTCCATTTTCTTTTCATATGGGAAACTAACTACATAGATCAGAATGTATTTTGAGAAACTGATGGTTGGTGAGCTTGCCATAAAATTCATCTCCAGTTTTGGTAACTGAGCGTTTATTATTCTGTTCAAACAAGCACGTCACTGGACCTAATCTTGATCCTGACGAATGTAGTCCACATCCTACTACAATTAAGGTACATTTTAATATTATATTATCGTCTACACATAGGTCTCCCAAGTGTTCTTTTCCTTTCAGGTGTTTGGACTAAATTTTAAAATGCATTTCTGATCTCTGCCCTGTGTATTTCCACACATTTGCCTTTGGAACTGGTTGAATGCAGAAATATGAGTAGCATGTTTTACGTCACAGAACAGCTGATGCCACACGCCTGATATGGCTGTTGAAAAGGGCAAAGAATAGTGTCATTTTAAGGTGTGTGATTATGAAAGAAACATAAGAAATTTGTCATTGACTGAGGTAGAGTATTAAAGCCCTCCTTCAGTACAAGGCGCGTAACAGTTCTGATTGGAACCAGGCAGACTTGATATTTCCGGGTTTGTAGTTTATTCTGCCTCTTAGAGAGAAGAACGAACACATTTCGTAAAAACTTGATACAACGCCTCTTCTGTCTATGGGGAGGGGGGGACACTGAATCTTTTATATTGCATAGTTTTCTTCGTATTGAAATAAAGGAAACTGAATGTAGAAACATAAAGTATTTCACACATCACATGCCATTTTGAAGATATTCCGAGAAACAAAGCAGAGAGTCTATAAGCTTTTTGTGTTGTAAGCAAACGCTGTATATTCTAATGTAACAAAACCCAGGCGTACCTAGTCGAGCATCAGACATCTTCGCTCGGTTCTCTTTTTATTGTTTTTCCTTCGCCGTCCTTCTCCAGGGAAAACAAAAGAAGAATTCGGAGGCACTTGTCGACACTTCTCAGAAAATTGAAGCTGTAAACGTGTGTCGGGGGCCTGGGGGGGGGGGGGTATGATCTCTGCCCTGTGTATTTCCACACATTTGCCTTTGGAACTGGTTGAATGCAGAAATATGAGTAGCATGTTTTACGTCACAGAACAGCTGATGCCACACGCCTGTTATGGCGGATGAAAAGGGCAAAGAATAGTGCCATTTTAAGGTGTGTGATTATGAAAGAAATATGGCTGTTGAAAAGGGCAAAGAATAGTGTCATTTTAAGGTGTGTGATTATGAAAGAAACATAAGAAATTTGTCATTGACTGAGGTAGAGTATTAAAGCCCTCCTTCAGTACAAGGCGCGTAACAGTTCTGATTGGAACCAGGCAGACTTGATATTTCCGGGTTTGTAGTTTATTCTGCCTCTTAGAGAGAAGAACGAACACATTTCGTAAAAACTTGATACAACGCCTCTTCTGTCTATGGGGAGGGGGGGACACTGAATCTTTTATATTGCATAGTTTTCTTCGTATTGAAATAAAGGAAACTGAATGTAGAAACATAAAGTATTTCACACATCACATGCCATTTTGAAGATATTCCGAGAAACAAAGCAGAGAGTCTATAAGCTTTTTGTGTTGTAAGCAAACGCTGTATATTCTAATGTAACAAAACCCAGGCGTACCTAGTCGAGCATCAGACATCTTCGCTCGGTTCTCTTTTTATTGTTTTTCCTTCGCTCTCCTTCTCCAGGGAAAACAAAAGAAGAATTCGGAGGCACTTGTCGACACTGCTCAGAAAATTGAAGCTGTAAACGTGTGTCGGGGGCCTGGGGGGGGGGGGGTCTAGTGACAAAGATAGGAAGAAGTTAACATCGCCGTGACGCCATATTGGGCTACCGCTTGATGTGATGTTAAACAATCTGATAGAAACAGTGGCACCGACCGAAATACGTGCGCAATTCCGCGGAATTATGTTTAACAAAAGGAAGCTGTTCAGACTATTACTTCTCGATCTAGTCTTGATAATAATTTTTTTGTACATCCGTGTTGATATTGGTTAAATAAGCTCAGATATGTGGAGGTGACGACGAAACTGATATAAGGGGCCAAATGTATTTTATTTCAACACTGTTACAAGTTTAAAAAGAGACTTTTTAAGTTATATAAAAATACTTTCGTTAGTGTTATCGGTTGCTACCCTCGTTTCTGCCCGACTCTGGCTTGGTTGCTAGGCTACTGTGACCGGATTTGTAGCGTGGAGGCTAGAGTTGGCTGTTTTCAGTGCCTGAACAAACCATTAATATGAAAAGACGTAACAATACCAATAAAATATATTTCATCCCCTCATAACTCGAAAGTGAAGATAAGGAAATAAGATAAAAAAGATTCGGGAGGGGGTTGAAAATCTATGACCTGAACACTACCCACTTTGCATATAAATTACATCAGTCTCAACCGTCGCTTTCTTCCGCTCTCTGTGTTTCTGTTCTATATCTGTTAAAAAGAAATGCAAAATTCCTTATTCCAGTTAGTGAAAGAAAAATAATTGTATCTCTCTTTCCCCTTTCGTTGCATCTGAGGGAAGTTTCGGCGTGTACCCTTCTTTCAGATCGAGGTGTTAATAAGATCTGAAGTAATATTTAAACCCCTCCGCCAAAGAATATTTTATTCCATTCTGTTTCCCGAAATTCAATCAAACAAGACAATTTCTGTACGTTTTCCTATACACGATTTCTGCTATTGAAAATTGTAATAAAAGATTTAACGTGGTTGTTATTATATTATAATCTTTTATATTGTGCCCTTTAAATTTCTTTGTTCGTGTATTTTCCCTGACCGCTGATGAGAGCAGGGAATTTATCCTTCGTCTTTCCCTCTTAAATTCCAAGTTTCGCGTCCTTATAAATGCCAGTATTAATTATAATGTGGTTCTCAAACGTGACTTCATATTACATGATAAATTTTCTGTTATGCTACCATGCAGACAAGTTCCTTTCAAGCTGTTCCCACACCTACCAACCTATCCAAATAAGCTGGTTTTAGCGACTCTGGACTGTACTTACTGCGGAAAGATGCCCAGTAGCTGGCTATAATGTCAGCACTGTGATAAATCGATGTACTAGTCGCTGCATGCTCGGTATTAGAAAGTGTGGCCCTGCCTTGTTTAAAATCGTAAATTAACTTCACCATACATTTACCCATCCTCACCGTAGCAACCACGAGACAGTGTCGTAACAGACTTACAGTGTGCTGTTTCCTTTAGCGATATAGAAGTTCTCTAGCCTTGCAGAGTGAAATATACAGGGCGTTTCATTTAAAACGCAATCCAATATTCACGTTCTGCGGGACAACAGTGGCATCAGATGCAGGTCCACCCCAGTGTAACAGACTCTCCCGATTTCCCCGCACGTGTCTCCAGAGTTTCCTCTAGCACTTATTTCTTTATACCGTATCCCATACTCTGGAAAGGCATAATCTTTTCGATGTTATGTGAACGCGGAAACATCACAATGACTTTTAGTGTTGGTAAAATAAAAGGTATGTTGCAGTAACGGCTTGTAGTAGGTAAAATATTCCATCACTTCAGATACGAAAGAAATTATTTGCAACAAATTTCGCTCAAAAATGGTTTCCGTGTTTTGCACAAATGAGAGAGTTCTCTCCCGTATTACTCCGGACCTATGAAACATATGGCATATACTTTTCGTATTGTACGTCTAATTCTTTTTCTTGTTTTTTTTATTTTATTAGCTTATTTCTTTGTTCGTTTAACAACGTTTTATCAACTGATTACAAGTGACTTCGAATGAGTGTTTGTAAATGGTGAATTGAACAGGAAGTTGAAGGAAGTGGCTTTGGCCGATTTTGGGTTGGCAGACTATCACAGCACATTTCTTTGATATCCAAGTGTACCATTTACCAATCTTTCAAACATCCTGTATACTTGTGGGTGGAATTTTCGGCAGAAATCCTGCCCTTTACGGTTCACTCAACCTGCGACGTGTTTATCGGCCAGTTCTCTGTGAGACTTCCATTTCGCTTTCCATGGCTTTCGACTGGGATTATGGAAGCGTCGAAGCAAAGATGAAAACAAGACGAGAGACCGCTGCCTTTTTAAGAAAGCAAGCCACGAGGACAGCCCTTTGTATCGTGGATATTCCACCAAATAACGAGATGGCGTAGAAGCTTGTTTTAAAAAGATAGGAAAAAGCTCTCAGTATCTTGTTCAAATTTATATCGTTTTTAACACGAAATCGGTGTACAAAGGCAACGCTCTATTGTCCTGTCATAGAATACGTTTTAAAAATTCTCAAATGAATGCAATTTTACGAATGTCGTGTGGCTTTGTTCTGTGAGGGCTTTTATCAGTTACTTTCAAATCTTTATTCCAAAATCTTATATATACTTCGTTTCTAAGTGTATGCAAAAAGATTTAGTGAGTGTTTTATTTCGTGTATTCTCTAAAACGTCAAACCAATTACAGCACAGGGTTTTTGAAAAAAAATAAATATGGTATTTATCTAAGTTCTTTTGTCATTGATTTTGCACTTTGTATGGTATCAGAAGCATAACATTGTACAATAACAACAGGGCTACTTATATGAACATCTAATAAACAAGCAATTAATGATTTTGAATCACTCTATCGTCTAATAATAATAATAACCCTTAATTATCCTATTGTAGATAGGAATAAAAAATCCCAGTAATCATTAACGTAGTATATGTGCCTTCGCTGAAGATCTTAATATTTATTTCAATCTGCTAATAGCATTAATACAATATTTTAATATGACCAATTAGTCTTTAAAACGTATAACGAAATCCTAATTGACATAATAAATGTGTTAATTCTAGACGTAGAGAGGAAAAAATAAATTATTATGGATTTAACTCATTTGCCTCAGAATAAGGTCCAGTGTCCAGCTGTATCCATATCCCGAGAAAGGTTCTGTTACATTACGTTGTTATTATTGTGCACGTATGAATATTAAAAGACAATTTCTGTCTCATTTTGCAGGTAAGCTGGGAGTGTTCAGTTATTAAAGCAATTGCTTGCCGAGCAGAATCTGCGGTAGTCGAACTTGGAACTCAATTAGCAAATGCCGCGGTAAGTAATTGTTGACCGAGTCGTTTATGTCACCATGACAACACAATTGATACGGAAATGGAGCACTGCTGACCAAACCTAACCTAACCAATACTACAAGTTTTCACTAATAGGCACATATTTGTGACCACTCGTCATCTAGACTCATTAGTAGAAGCCATCTGATTGGTGTAATTTAAAATGCGTCCATCCAATCGCTGCATGTTTTCATGTGATTGTAGTTTATTTTATTTCTACATATATATAGCTGTTACTGATGTCTGTTGATACAATAACTGGATTAGAGTAATAGAATTAGTTTGATAAACTCAATTATAGGCGTGAATGTTTGGTAGGGAATACATAGGTCCAATTAATCGTTGATTCCCATTATCAAACCTCTGATTATCTTTCGTAATCGAATTTCGTTAATGAATTCAATGACAACGCGGGGGAACTTGCGTAGCGTTCTATAATCTCAGACTAGTTTTGATATTGATATTAAAATGAAACATCCATTTCCTGCAGGTGAGATTATAAACAATTGTTTCAGTTTATTTCATTTATAAGTCTGTTATAACGAGCTATCAACGGCTATTTGAACTGTGCGAATTTAAAGTGATTTTTGTATTTAATGTTTTCCCCCTTCAAAAATTAGCATTGATATTTTAACACAAACAATTTTATATCTGCCGCTCTCTTTGATAAATATGAATTAAACATCACGTAATTCAGGTAATTATTGAGTGCTATTGACACACAACAGCTGTGCTGTAAAACTGTACCGCACCGTCATTATGGTAATTTCAGTTCTCTGAATCGTAACACGAATTTATAATACAAAAGTCTGTGTATCTACCGAACTGTAGTATTAGTAGGATATATATATTTCCAGTAAAATGAATTTAACTCCTAAAATTATTTGTTACTTTAAATAAGCATTTTCTATATTTGTATTGAGAGAAATAGAAGAGTAATTACGTCGTTGTGCCGATACAAGACGGGAAGTGCCTGTTTAAAGATAACGTACTCCATGAAGCAAAGTCGTCCTTAACCCAGAAGACATCCGTCTTCATACTCACGGCCGTGATAACTTGAAATCTCACGGAATTGCAATTGATCCATTTATTTGTGCCACAGACTTCTCGCCGTCTTGTTAGCATTTTTCGTCTTGTGAAACTTCTCCGATAAAACAAATTAGTCCGAAATGCTCTCTTGAAACCACAAAGTTGGGCAGAAGACAGAAGTTAGACAACATATCGTTCTCCGTTTATCATGTCTAATTTAATTCCGTAAGTAAATACGTAACTATCAGAGCAAGTGCTTTCTTACACAACCTCCCTAGTTTGACTCTCAACTCCTCTATTTTGTTCGGTTCCCAGGCACGTACTTTGAAGGAGCGCAAATTACTTCCCTCCTTAGGCTTTGTCATAGGCCGCTTCTGGAAAACGTTTCTGGTAATTCTGGCTAAAAACTTGTAACGATATTGAGATATTAGCTTAAAAGTGCACTTAATTCAAAGACAGTCTGATGACAAAATAGTAATATTCAGTTGGTCTTCGAGATGTGCTCGTGGGGCAGATAAAAAATGTGTACACAATTTTTGTTGATAAGCTTAAATGGGACGAAGCACTCGGAAGACTTAGGCGTATGTGGGAGGATAATATTAAAATTAACCTTAATTAAATATAACTGCAGGGTGTGGATTGAAATAATCTTGTCTTAGAATAGAGACCAGTGTTTGGATGTTGTGAACACGTTAATGAAACTTCGCGTTCAGTAAGACAGGGGTAAATTCTTTGTTAGTTTCTCGAGAACTCGGTTACGTATTGTCAGTTCGTCGTATCCACGCGCACAATGCAAGCCATGCTGTAAATATCGAAGCAGCTTGTCTGTTCCGGAGTAAACTCTGGATTCTGTGACGTATTTACCTCTGTCTTCCCGTGAGACGTGGGACGTGCAGGTGCTGTCGCCGACTGTTTGAACGCACCGTACAATAGCCGCGGGGCGTGTGTTTGTGGCACTGTTACAAACTCGCTCACGCGGAAGGTCGCTGTGTCAGGCGGGCGCACGGGTTGCTAATATTGGGCTGAAGTAAAACTGAAAGAATTTGTGCCTTGCGGCCACGGTTTCAGACAGAAATGCTGTCGTTTCGGTCTGTCTGTACGCGGGATTAAGTAGAATACGACTGAACGGATTTTTACTAAATTTGATACTGGGAGAGTGTTACTAAAATTTGCCGGTTTATTTCTCTTCTCTCTTTTTGTCTAAATCGGTCACCAATAACGGACACTACATGAATCCGTTTCTGAATTCCGAAGGGACTCGTTGAAGATTTATCCAAGCGGAATATCCCCGTTCATTTACGATGGTTAAAAAAATTACGAACACACCAGAATTTTTATGACGTGCGTGTTATTTTTTTTAACTTTTTCAAGGTTCCCACACATGGGGTTGCGGATCTTCAGTGTTACTGTGGTGTTTTTTGTCCAGTCAGTAGTGAAAGTCGCCATTGTGCATAATTAAATAAAATGTCAAGACACTCTTGACCGGAGTTACAGATTGACGTATTCTTAACCTAGACAGCAGATGGAAGGGAATGTTGTTTCAGCTTCAGCGTATGTATGTTTTTGATATGCAATTATGGCACATTCTGTATAGGAATTGATTATTTAAATGCAAATTATTTAAATTACAAAACCTGCTATTAATGTGACTGGTAGTCAACAGTGTAGACGAAATGTCATTCTAGCCAAATGTTTAACGATGTATTGGATGAAAACGAAGGTTCTGAAGTAGCTTTTTTTTCGAAAAGTACTTTGTTATGGAAACCGTTCAACAAAATATCTGTTCCTATTTTTTTTTATATAAAGCATAATCTTGAATTTAGTGGCATTTCAAGCTCTCGTGACGGCTAGTATGATGATGACTGTTTTCTGGGCTATTCCGTGTAATCTGGTAGAAGTTTACAGACATTTTAGAGGATATTAATATCTACATCATCAGGACGATAGCAAGCACATCTGAATCGTCGATTAATTTGTACCAGACTATACGGCGCGACAACCTAGCAGACAGCCACCTTCTAATTCTTATATAATTCAGATTTAATTCGGTTTTTATGTGCAGAACTGTGTAGTATTATTTTATACAAAGCAGTTACTATTTTCTTATTTCCAGGGATTTTTTTTTTAGTTAAGGTTGTTTGTAGGTTAGGACAGTCCTTGCCAGAATTTCGTCCAGAACACACGTACTGACTGGGGTTTGCCATAGTTCCTCCATTAATATTCGGAGACAATGTCTTGGTACAAATCACTGACGGTTCATTATACACATATCTTGTCATTTCTCTTTCGATGATTTGTAACATGTAGTCTGCAGCAGCCAATACTTGATATTCAAGAAAGTTATATATTTTTACCACAACACACTTCTAGTAGGCCTACATACATAAAGTTGTATTAATGTCAGAACCACCTCAGAAGTTCGGGCATCTGCAGTGTTTCTGTTATTGGTAATATTGGAGAGTTTCGGCGTTCTAAGGACGTGCTTTGGTGTTCGTACCAAGTTTCCTAAAATTTCGTGTTTTTGGTCTAAAGAGGTTGGACATAAGCTCGAAGTTCCCGGCGTACGAGCTACCGGTCTTTAGACAGGAAAATAGGATAAACGACGCTTGGTTCACTGTTGTCGTAAAACGTTGAGTGTTGCGCAACCGATGGCTGATTAATGGCTGACGTAGTAGCAACACGTCTACTTTAAACGCTGTCTTATCTCTGGTTCACAAACGATTAAACACCGCCACTAACCCTAGCCGCCCGCATTATCAAAAGGGGTTGTGTATTTATCGGGTTATAAAACGATACTTCCACCCTTTAAATCACCGACACCAGGTCCCTTTCTAATCTTAGGCGTTTACAATAAGGTGACGGGAAGAAGCAGTGTTTTGTATGGGCTTCCTTAACGAGTTCTGCTTGAAGGGGCCGCCTTAAACAATCAAATTCAGTGTTATAACTAAACTTAAATGTAGACCTGCCAAAAGCTGACTCCAAAGAGCGTATTGCTGCTGAGAAGATGAATTTGCACAGCTGGTAAAAGAAATCCTTTGCCATTTATGGTGTTTACAAGAGTCAGCAGCAGCTGATTTCTATCCTGAGCCAGTAGAGTCCACTCTAACGCCACTGGGACTAATATTATCCTCCTGTACACTATCCCGAAATCTGCTTGTATAAGTACCCAGGAAATCTACGAAGAGCTGCAATTGTGACTGAATTAATTTGACTCAGGATAGGAACCAGTGAGGGCTGTTGTGAACACGGTGACGAACCTTGGTGTCCCATAAAGCGAAGGGCGCTTCTTGGACAACTCCTTAAGTAGGGACGTGCTAAAGAAAGTTCTGTAGTCGACGAAGTATAGACGTTTTATGGTTAATACGAGAGTTTGTGATATCCGCTATGAGCGCAAGGAAGCACGCTTGCTGTGCAGATAACAGATCTCTAGCCCATCTGTTAGCCAGGCGCTGATCTGTTTCCTGAAACAGGTGTTTCTTCAACGCCAACTTTGCGTGTGGATCGTGAGATGCGAAGCTTCTGAAGGCTTACTGTCCTGTTGAGAGAGAGGTTTTGCAGTTCCTGGCACTCCGCAGGAAGGACTGACCGAACGCGCGAGGCATAAATACCCTATCAGGCTGAACTCTGCACGTCTCCATGAGTTGTTAATAATGCGATGTGTCTGCATTTTCATGTGCGGTTTCGTACTAAATACTATGAGTTGAAGATTAATTCGCGTTTAAAAGAAGTTTTGTATTCGGGCATATTAAAAATCATGTCCGTGTGTTTCAAGGAGATTAAATGACTTCGTTAATATATTCATGTATCATTCCCTTAAGCCTTTGTGCCTTGTTTATCACAACTTCATGTCCTTCCCCGGACACTATCCTGAGACAGATGAATCCATTCCACGCTTCCAAAACCTGTTTTACTAAGATCCATTTGAATATTATCCTTTCTTCAACACAGGTTTTC